ACTCACGTCTAACCGATGTTACGAGTGAATCACCAGTGGTCTCGAAAACATCTTTATTATTGGTGGTCAGAGTAACGCGTGGTGGAGGCAATTCGCGCAATTGTGTACGATGCAAGTTGTCTGTGGAGATTATCATAGGAGAATCCGTCGTGACGTTTGATTTTCTCCGCTTCTGGTAGATCGATGTAGAGGCGACAAGTAAGCGTTTGGCTCTGCGCTTTGGTTACTTCTCATCGATTGATAACGCATTATTTCCCAGTATGGTCGATGCGTCAGGTTTCACATGAGTTGTATGTTCCACAATCTGCCTCAGAGGCTCGATAACAAGTCAAAAGTGTCTTTCCAACGCAGTATCTTCCACTATCTTACTGGTTTTTAAAGCTCGATATTTCTTACGGATCGATTCACTCGTTTTCGCAATTTCCTTCGCCATCTTCTCACCACCTTTAATCTCTGAGTCGCTAATCTCTGTGTAATCTGACATCACCATTACGATGTGTTAGACGTTTCCTCGTTGACGCACAAACGACAAATGGTCACGTTACGGTATTGCAAAATCGTTAAATCCCCGCCGATATCGTCCATTGGTCATAGAACTGTCCTTGTCTATCACTACAAAACCATATTTTTGCTGCCAACATTCGCGGCACAGCGCACAAAAATCTTCGTAAATCATATCAGTATTCACGTGATCTTTGTACACGTGTTACAGATTGGTACCATCCTGCTTAAAGAGAATCAGCAGATTCGCATTATCCCGTATAAGATGCTTAGATATCTTTGCATACGTCTGACAAAAATAGAAACAGTCGACTTTCAAATGGCGACTCATAGCAAAATATTCTCTTATCGTATCTTGTTTGTCACACGCCACGTCGTCAGAAACAAAAATGGAATTTGGTAGCGCTTCGCTCGGCTGAACGACATCGATGTTATTGGAAAATATAAAAAAGCCAATTTCGTCTATCGACGCAAATAAATTCCCCAAGTAACGACATTTCGGCTGTTGCAGTGATTTCGAGTACATATATAGATTCTCGAAACGCAGACCGTGTGGGCTCTCTAGCAGGCTCACCAACACATTCGTCTTACCACAATTCGAGGGGCCGCATACGATACTGCGTATGGTAATCGGTAGCAAGTGGCCATGCTTACGTATAACATTTTCGGATGCTACTCGCATTCTATCATCGAAATTTTTCACGCGTATCAGTGTCGGTTGTTGTATGAACCTCATGTCGCTTAAAAATGCTTAATTGGCACGCAGCAACTATTTATAGGGAAGCGCCGAATCAAATTCAGTCGCCAAAATATTTCTCCTACTGTCGGATACTTATGATATTTGAGACCTAACCTCCGAACAGTTGAAATATTTACCGAAGATTGTTCTATCGCGCGAGTTTTCGAAGCACATTGACGTTTTGTGGGACAGAATCCCGGAATAAATAAGGGCCGACCCGGAAGTTCAACAGTATCGTCGGTGCCTGGAACATTATAATCCTCCGTGGCAGCAAACGCACATGGACGGGCCAGCACCGTTGATTAGAGGCTGTGGTGAATGTCGTCGTCGTCGAAAACAGTAAAAATCGGCACCGTTCTGCGATCGGTGTCCAGTAATCGTTTTGGTCTCTGACGAAGATGTTGCTGACATTTACACTCACCAGCAAGAGTAGCACTCTCGCGGGAAGCTACTTTCCAGCCATAGATCTGAGCGATGGCGATTACGAACTTGGTTTGATAGCCTTTGAAACCTATAATACGATACCGAATGTAAATGCGTCGAATAATAAATTTTACTTTGATGAGGACGACAAGGAAATTAT